ATCATCATCATCATCATCATCATCATCATCATCATCATCATCATCATCATCATCATCATCATCATCATCATCATCATCATCATCATCATCATCATCATCATCATCATCATCATATTTTCCCTCCTCCTTCCTCCTCCGCCTCTTTTTCCTACTTCTCCTCGTCCTCTTCCTCCTCCTCCTCCTCCTCCTCTTTTCGTTATGTATGTTGTTTGGTTTTATCTCCTTAAAAAATGATGAGTTTGAATAATGTTATGAATAAAGGCGGGGTCCAAAACCCGGATAGCAGGGCGCCGGAAGGGTGTGGAGAGGCCTGTCGCAGAACTCTGGAAGGACCTGGAGAGCTCCCGAAGGACCCCCTGGAGAGATTCGAGGCACGCGTATTCGAAAACGCTTGGGAAAGGCCTGCCAGAACAAGCTGCTGGCTCAAGCACGTTTCTCCGGCGCTGGAAAACGGAAGCCGGAACGATCTCCAGGGCTACCCTGCGGCTCGGGCTTCTTAACTTTTGCAGTCCCAAAACCCAAACAGCGACGCATTCCAAAGAGAGTAAACGCTGATGGGAAACACTGGCAAGGGCACTGGAAAGCATGCCTGGGGACCTTACAGGCGTGGGAACTGTGTGGGAGACGCTTGCCAGGGCGCTGGTAAGGATGCCTGGGGAGCTTACAAGCTTTGGAAAGCGAGCTTGGAAAGACCTTCGAGGGAGCTGCGAAGGACCTGCGGCAAGGCTTCACGCATGCGTACTGGGAACGAATGAGAAAACGTTTCTCGGGACACACTGCTGGCTCAAGCAGGTCGCTACGGGGATGCCTGCCCAGGAGCCTTGGAGAGAAGCTGGCCTACCCTGCGCTGCCAGATTCGAGTATGATAGTCGCTATTATTATCTTAAGTAAGCTTAGTATCAGACTAGTACTAAAGTTCTTACTATAAGTAGTAGTAAGTATACCACTGGGGATAACTAGCGCTATGCTCTGCATGTTCGAGGTATTATAGTATTCGTGTTATCCTGCTTCTGATTCAAATACTACTTTTATGTGTTAGTCTTGCTGCTTAGTAATATCATTAACAGAAGTATCCGCATGTGCAACACGGTTCTTCTTAATTCTTCATAGTATTGCTATTGTTTCAATTCGTACTATTATGGTCCGACTCCTCTTATTGAAAGTGGTAGTGCTAAGATTAATATAATTGAAATGATTCGTCTGCTTCTGCATATTATGATTTTTCGTATTAGTGTTAGCATTAGTATTCGCAGTCATATTCTTCTTCGTATCACTGATGTCATTGTTATAATCATGACTGGCGCAATTATTAGTAGTATGCGCATGAATGTGGTGCCGTGATTTGTATCAGTGATAATATTATTCGTCTTGCTCGTAGTATTAGCATGACTATCATCAGTAGTCGTGTTAGTAGTTTTGCTCGTATGCTTAACAGCATGATTAGGATTATTATTGATAGTTGTCTGCGAACTCTCAGTATTACTCTTTTTCAAAGTGTTCTCACTGTTGGTACTATTCGTGTTAGTACTCATCATAGTATGACCCTTCGGGCTATCGTTGTTATTCTTATTCGTTTTATTCATGCATTCGCAGTATTATTCTTAATGGTGTCATGGTTACTACCCCTATTACTATTATTATTGTTGGTGTTCGTTGTATTAATCGTATTCAACACATGTTCTGATTAGTGTTGCGATAACTGTTCTTATTCATCATATTCCTCCTCCTACTACTACTACTCCTCATCATCATAATCATCATCCTCCTTGTCATCCTCATCCCCCGCATCCACTCCTCCTGCTCCTCGTCCTCGTCCTCCTCCTCCTCCTCCTCATCATCATCATCCTCCTCCTGCTCCTCCTCCTGCCCCTTCGTTTCCGCCTCCTCCTCATCATCATCCCTTCCTCCTCTTCCTCCTCGTTCTTTCTCGTCGCCATAACCCTCGCGATCGTGCGCGCATTATTCGCCCGCGCGCCTTCGCCGACGGCCCACGGCGAGCAGTGGCGGAACCAACGGCGGCAGCGGCGACGGTGCCAATTTCGTAGTCTAGGTATGCCTGTGTTTCCCGGCGCGGGGACACGCGGCGGCAGGATATGCAACCTGCGGCGGCGCAGCGATCGGCGGACAGCTGCCGCCGTACGTTGGGGCACATCCGGCACCAGAGTCCCCCGCAGAGCTAGCACCCCAAGGACGAAGCCACTCCGAATCCCGAGGGTACGCTGCGCGCGCGCCGCCGCTACTGTCGTTGGTCATGCCTACGAAGCCCACGAAGGACAGCGGCGAACGACGGGCGCTGACGTGAGAATCCGCGATGGCAGCGCGTCGGTGGTCCCGCTGCGGCGCCTCGAGAAGTCGAAGAGCGAGCGGATGGCCTGTACGCGTGACTCTTCGCCAAGTGGTCCGAACTAGGTCGCGAAGCTGCAGTCCATTAACCAGCCATTATGCTGTCACCTCCGTGAAGTTCATGGAACGAGTTAGCTCGCGGCTGGCGACACCGAGGATCAATGTGATGGCAGCGAATTGTTGGGCGCTGTCCATGTCGGTGGCGAACACGCACCAGGCAAGCAAGACCTGCACCCAATAGCGGAATTGGTGACTATGACGGCGGCTGGCGGGAAGTAGTGCCCTCTGCCACCGCCTCCGCCTTGCCGCCAGGTTCCTCCCGGTATCATGCAGACGAGCCTGAGCAAGGCGATCACGGCGGGAATGGCGATGCTCCTCCTGAGCGCCAGGATGGAGATCCTCCTCTGCAAAACTTCACCACGATGGTAGCTGCGCAGGCGCCTTGGTGCTCGGACCTGCACAAGAGCATACGCCATCTCATGATGGGGGCTGCCGTAATGTTGCTGATACCGTTAGTCTACGCTGAGGGTGGCGAAACAAGTATGTTAACCAACTGTGAACAGTTCGGGGTGCGCAGTGTCTAGAGTATGTTAGCCAGCACTCTTGCGCACAGCCCGAAACCTAGTGCTGGCCCAATCATGCGGCCCAGCGTCCGCGGCCAGAACCGGACGTGTGCGGGGTGACCAGGGAAGCGTCGTGGCACTCCCGCGTGCGGATGCTCGCCTGCGCACAGCCAACAGCTGCTGATGCCCTCGCAGCCACGAGGCTGTTCAGGGAATGGAGGGTGGTACTCATGCTGAGGGTGAGGGAAGTGCGAAGGCACGTCCACTTTGTACTCTGCGCGTTTTCCGTGGATCGTCCGTAACCCCCCTGGCTCAAGGCCGTCGGGCTCAAATCTGCGTGCATCAGGGCGCACGGAGGGTTGGGCCTGCCCGCGGGGCACGCGCGCGGGGGCGCAGGCGTGGATGACGGGCGGCGGCAGGCGGGAGGCCTCCGCAGGCTTCCCGCGCCCGGAGAGGGACGGACGGAGGGATTCCGCCGCAGCGCGCCGCGCGCGTCGGCGCCGCCACGACGCCCGGGCCCTTCTCGCGGCTTGGCGTGCAGGCGCGGCTCTCGCCGACATCAAGGGCCGGCATCGAGAAGAGTGGGCAGTGGCTGCAGACTCGGGCGGGGACAGGCACGGGCGAGAAGGACCACGACCAACGCCAGCTGCACCACGACCAACGCCAGCAGCACCACACCGATTCCAACAACTCCAGCTGCACCACGACCAACGCCAGCTGCACAACGACCTACTCCAGCAGCAACTCCAGCGGCACCACGACCCACGCCCAACTCCAGCAACAGCACCACGACCATCGCCCACAGCAGCACCACGACCAACGTTTGCCGCACCACGGCGAATGCCAGCTGCACCGCGACCGATTCCAGCAGCACCAAACCACGACCGACTCCAGCTGCACCATGACCGACCCCGGCAACACCACGCCCAAGCGACTCCAGCAGCACCACGATCAACGCCCGCTGCACCACGATTGACCCCAGCAGCACCAGACCAACACCAGCAGCAAAGCGAGCAACTACAGCGGCTCCTTGACCAACCAACGACAGACCCCAGCATCACCGGAACGACCCCAGCAACAGCACGACCAACTCCAGCAGCCCCAGACCAACACAGGGAGCCCCACGATCAAGTCCAGCAGCACCGCGACCATCCGACGACCGAGTTCAGCAGCTCCAGGGCGACTGCGGCAGCATCAACATCAACCCCATCAGCACAACGGCCAACCCCAGCAGCACGAGGCACTCTGGAGCCCCGCGCGAGCCCCACGGGAGCCCCACGGCAGGGCCTCTTGAGCCCCACGGGAGCCCCACGACCAATTATTGCTGCCCTTGGACCGTCGACTGCAGCAGTAGACCGACACCAGCAGCTCCACGACCGACTCCAGCAGCTCCACGACCAACCAGCGACCGACTCCGACACCACCAGAGCCACCAACCAGCAGCACCACAACTAACCAACAATCGACGCCAGCGACCAGGCAGCAGTACAGCGGCCAACTTCAGAAGCACTGCGACCAGCGCCAGCAGCACGACAGCGTGACGACCAACTACAGCAGCATCACGGCCGCTCGTTGACCGACCCTGGCGTCAACAATGGCACCCTGCCACAATACGTCGTGATGAAGATCGCTGTTGCTGTCGGTGTCCGCCCGCAGGGGTCCCTGGCGTGCGCCTGCCGGCGGCTTGCCAGAACCATGGGACACCTGAAGGATGACGACCAACCTGCGACCGCCCCCAGCGCTCCCAGAGCGACCCACCAGCAGCACTCCGACCAACCAGCGACCGACCCGAGCGACCACACGGCAGCACAGCGACCTACGTCAGAGGCACAACGAGCAGCTCCAACAGCACCACGGCCAACTCCAGCAGCACCTGGGCCGACACCAGCAGCACTAGACCGACGCCGGCAGCATTGCGACCAACTCCAGCAGCGCCGCGATCAACTAGCGACCGATCACAGCGCCGCCATGGCGAGCAACCAGCAGCACCGCGATCCACCTGCGACCGACCCCAGCGCCTCCAGAGTGAGCAACCAGCAGCACCGCGACCAACTTGCGACCGACCCCAGCGACCGCCCAACAACGCCACGACCGACTCCAGCAACGCCGCGGCCAGCTCCAGTAACACCACGACCGACTCCTGCAGCACCTCGGCCGACACCAGCAGACTTAGACCAGCACCAGCAGCACCACGACAGCAGCTCCACGACCAACCAGCGACCGACTCCAGCACCACCAGAGCCACCAACCAGCAGCACCACGACCAACCAGCAACCGACGCCAGCGACCAGGCAGCAGCACAGCGGTCAACTTTTGCAGCACTGCATCCAACTCCAGAAGCGACCTGGCCGACGCCAGCAGTCCTAGACCGACTCCAGCAGCACCGCGACCAACCGGCGACCGACCCTAGCACCATCAGAGCGAGCAACCAGGAGCACTGCGACCACCATGCAGCCGACCCCAGCAACCAAGCAGCTGCACTACGACCAACCCCAGCACGTGGTCACCAGACGACGGGCGCGAGCAGCGGCCAGACTCCGGCGAACGAGGAGGCCCCGCTCCGGGAGTGGAGGGACGGACGGTCGGCTCGACACGTGGGGCGGCTGCTTATCGGACGCGGGCGGCCTCGAGGCCCCAGAGGGCACTCTTACTTGAGCCTGCTTCGGGAGGGGATCCGTGCTCTCCCACGGGATGCCGTGCGACAGCCCAGGAGACTCGAGATCATCGAGCCCTACCTGATGTCGGACCAGCATCGCAGCGACACGATGACGAACCACGTTAGCAGCCTGAATGAGATCACGAGCGTGGCCATCGAGCTCGGCGTCGAGCAGTTCGACATCATCACGAAGCCCTCGTGCTTGGAGGACGACAACATGGGTGGGATCTTCCTGTCTCTAGAGCAGCGGCTCCGGGGGATCGGCGTCGCCACGCAAACGATCGGCAACCAGGAGGTGCATCGCAGGTATTGGACAGTCGACTTCGACACGCACTCGGTGAGCTTAGATGTCGAGTTCGGCTTGCATATGTTCGAATGGCACCCACCCAGCGTGCCACAGGCCCTCCGGCACTGTCGCCCAGGCACGGTGGAGATCTTCCTGAGGTAAAGGGAGCGGCGCCAGGATGCCGGGCGCAGCCAGCCGAGTCGGGCCAGGGCGGACATGTCGACGAGAGGGGTCATCGGTGGCTGCGGCGCAAGCTGGCGCAGGTAGCGGCCCTGGAACGACGGATGCTGCGCGGGGAGGTCACGCCCAACTCGGCTCAGCAACGGCTTCTAGCATTTGGCCCTGAGCTGCGCGCGCGAGCCGCGACCGAGGCGAGGCGGCGCGGGGGGCTCACTCTCAGGGACTTCGAGGTCATAGCTGGTGATTAGGACCGAGTGCCCCAACCCGCTTTGTGGCAGACTCAATCCCGCTCGCGCGGACAGGTGCCATGCTCGCGGCTGTTGCGCGCGCACTGGTGGACGTCTCAGCTGCAAGACCCCGCGGCCCGAATGGGGAACGTGCGAGCAGATTCGCGGGGAAATGCTGGCCCGCATGACGTGGGCGGCTCGAGTGTTGCAGAGATGGCTACGTCGTCGATGGCCGCGGCATCTGCAGGTGAGCTGGCACCGCCAGGAAGCCCAGGATCGGCGACGAGGGCCTGGGTCAGACCGACGCCGCGACCGACGCCAGCAACGACAACCGACTCCAGCACCACGACAGACTACAGCGGCACCGAGGCGAGGGACCGGCGGAGGCGGCGGAGGCGGCGGAGGCGGCGGAGGCGGCGGAGGCGGAGGCGGCGGAGGCGGCGGAGGCGGCGGAGGCGACGGAGGCAATCCCGGCTCCACCTTTCCAGCAGCACCAGACCAGACCAGCGCCAGACCAACCCTTACCCCACCCCTCCAACAGCATCAGGCCAGCACCAGACCAGAGGAGGCTGAGGAGGAGGAGGAGGAGGAGGAGGAGGAGGCCAACGAGGACGGGGGCAGCGGCAGCACTGTGGGAGGAGCGGGGAGGGACGACAGAGGCGGCGCCGACGGGGGGGAAGGCAGCGGCGCACGTGCGGAGGGGGACGGCAGTGGGCCACAGCACCCCGACGAGAGTCCAGCAGCATCAACACCAATCGCAGCTGCACCGCGACCGTCTCCAGCTGCACCTGACCGACACCAACAGCACCACCACCTCCAACTCCAGCAGCAACGCGACCAACCGGCGACCCACTCTAGCAGCACCGTTGCGGCTCCAGCAGCATCCGCACCAACCCCAGCTGCACCGCGACCGCCTCTTGCAGCGCCGGACCGACACCAACAGCACCACCATCAAATCCAGCAGCACCACGACCAATCAGCGACCCACTCCAGCAGCACCAGTATGACTCCAGCAGCATCAACGTCATCACCAGCTGCACCACGACCGACTCCAGCAGCCCCTGATCAACACCAACACCACCACCACCAACTCCAGCAGCACCACGACCAACCAGACACCCACTCCAGCAACGCCAGTGCAGCACGACCGAGTCCTGCAGTAACTGACCAACACCAACTGCTCCCAGCCCCAGCTGCACCACAACCGACTCCGGCAACATCTGACCGACATCAACAGCACCGCCACCAACCCCAGCAGCACCACGACCAACCAGCGACCCACTCCAGTAGCACCAGTGCGTCTCCAGCAGCACCAACGCCATCACCAGCTGCACTACGACCCACTCCAGCAGTACCTGACCGACACCAACACCACCACCACCAACTCCAGCAGCACCGCGATCAACCAGCGACTGACTCCAGCAGCACCAGAGCGACTCCAGCAGCTTCAACACCAACCCCTGCTGCACCACGACCGACTCCTGCAGCACCCGACCAACACCGACAGCGCCACCGCCAGCTCCAACAGCACCGCGACCAACCAGCGACCCACCCCAGCAGCAGCAGTGCGAGTCCTGCAGCATCAACACCAATCGCAGCTGCACCGCGACCGACTCTAGCTGCACCTGACCGACAACAGCAGCACCACCACCACCAACTCCAGCAGCAACGCGACCAACCGGCGACCCACTCTAGCAGCACCGTTGCGGCTCCAGCAGCATCCGCACCAACCCCAGCTGCACCGCGACCGCCTCTTGCAGCACCGGACCGACACCAACAGCACCACCATCAAATCCAGCAGCACCACGACCAACCAGCGACCCACTCCAGCAGCACCAGTATGACTCCAGCAGCATCAACGTCATCACCAGCTGCACCACGACCGACTCCAGCAGCCCCTGATCAACACCAACACCACCACCACCACCAACTCCAGCAGCACCACGACCAACCAGACACCCACTCCAGCAACGCCAGTGCAGCACGACCGAGTCCTGCAGTAACTGACCAACACCAACTGCTCCCAGCCCCAGCTGCACCACAACCGACTCCAGCAACATCTGACCGACATCAACAGCACCGCCACCAACCCCAGCAGCACAACGACCAACCAGCGACCCACTCCAGTAGCACCAGTGCGTCTCCAGCAGCACCAACGCCATCACCAGCTGCACTACGACCCACTTCAGCAGTACCTGACCGACACCAACACCACCACCACCACCACCATCTCCAGCAGCACCGCGATCAACCAGCGACCCACCCCAGCAGCAGCAGTGCGAGTCCAGCAGCATCAACACCAATCGCAGCTGCACCGCGACCGACTCTAGCTGCACCTGACCGACACCAGCAGCACCACCACCACCAACTCCATCCAGCAGCAACGCGACCAACCAGCAACCCACTCTAGCAGCACCGTTGCGGCTCCAGCAGCATCCGCACCAACCCCAGCTGCACCGCGACCGACTCTTGCAGCACCGGATCGACACCAGCAGCACCATCACCAAGCTCAGCAGCACCACGACGAACCAGCGACCCACTCCTGCAGCACCAGTGAGACTCCAGCAGCATCAACGCCATCACCAGCTGCACCAAGACCGACCCCAGCAGCCGCTGACCGACACCAACTGCTCCACCACCAACTCCAGCAGTACCACGACCAACCAGCGACACACTCCTGCAGCACCAGTGCAGCACGACCGACTCCTGCAGTACCTGTCCAGCACCAACAGCACCACCACCAATTCCAGCAGCACCACGACCAGCCAACGGCCCACTCCAGCAGCACCAGTGCGCCTCCAGCAACATCAACGTCATCACCAGCTGCACCGCGATCGACTCCTGCAGTGCCAGACGGACACCAGCAGCAGCACCACCACCAATTCCAGCAACACCGCGACCAACCGGCGACCCACTCCAGCAGCACCAGTGTGACTCCAACAGCATCTGACCGACACGAACAGCACCTCCACCATCTCCAGCAGCATCACGACCAGCCAGCGACCCACTCCAGCAACACCAGCGCAGCACGACCGACTCCAGCAGTACCTGACCGACACCAACATCACCATCAACAACCGGAGACCCACTCCAGCAGCACCAGTGTGACTCCAGCAGCATCAACGCCACCACCAGCTGTACCACGACCGACTCCAGCAGCAGCTGACCGACACCAACAGCACCACCACCAACCCCAGCAGCACAACGACCAACCAACGGCCCATTCCAGCAGCACCAGTGCGCCTCCAGCAACATCAACGTCATCACCAGCTGCACCGCGACCAGCAGCACCAGTGCGACTCCTGCAACACTGCGACCTCTAGGCGACCCACTCCAGCAGCACCAGCGCGCGAGAAGGGCGAGCAGTGGCAGCGGGCCCTATCGCCGCTCAGCGCGAGGCGGGCGTTGAAGCTGGAGCCCGACATCATGAGCCACAACACAGGGCAGCCGGCCCTACCGCTGCACAGAGAGATGTGGGTAGTGAATCCCGAGCCCGACGTCATGATCTACAGCACCCCGGTGAGAGCGGGCGAGAAGTGCGAGCAGTGGTCGCGGGCCCTACCGCTGCACGGCGAGATGTGGACGGTGAAGCTGGAGCCCGACACCATGAGCTACAGGATCCCGATCAGCGCGCGCGGGAAGTGCGAGCAGAGGCAGCAGGCCCCATTGCTGCTCAGCGAGATGCGGTAGCTGCAGCCGGAGCCCGCCATCATGAGCCAACGCGCCCCTGGCAGCGAGCGCGAGAAGTGCCGGCAGTGGCATCCAGCCCTATCGCTGCACAGCGAGACGGGGGTGATGAAGCCGGAGCCCGACATCACGAGCTACAGCGCCACGACGAGCGCGGGCGAGAAGTGCGAGCGGTGGCAGCCAGCCCCATCGTTGCTCAGCGAGGTGTGGGTGGTGAGGCTGGAGCCCGACATCATCATGAGCTACAGCGACCAGGACAGCGCGTGCGAGAAGTGCTGGCAGCGGCAGCCAGCCCTATCCATGCTCAGCGAGATGTGGGTGGAGAAGCTGGAGCCCGCCGTCAAGAGCTCTGGCACTCCGATCAGTGCGCGCGAGAAGGGCGAGCAGTGGCAGCGGGCCCCATCGCCGCTCAGCGAGAGGTGAGCGGTGAAGCTGGAGCCAGACATCACGAGCCACAACACGGGGCAGCCGGCCCCATCGCTGCACAGAGAGACGTGGGTGGTCAATCTGGAGCCCGACGTCATCAGCACCTACGGCGCTGTGAACTGCGCGTGCGAGAAAAGCAGGCGTTGGCAGTGGCAGCCAGCAGTGGCGCTGCTGAGCGAAATCGTGGTCGTGAAGCTGGAGCCCAACATCAGCCGCTACAGCACTGTGATCAGCGCATGCGAGAAGGGGCAGTGGCAGACAGCTCTGGCTCGGCCCAGCGAGAAGTTGGGAGTGAAGTTGGAACCCACCATCATCGCCTACGGCACTGTGAACAGCGCCTGCGAGAAGAGGTGGCCTCGGCAGTGGCAGCAGGCTGCGACGCTGCTGAGCGAGATGCTCGTGTAGAGGCTGAAGCGCGCAGCACCACCGACCATGAACAGCACCGCCACCCAGCAGACCCACAGACCAGCAACGGCACCACCAACCGACTAGCAGACCCACCGACCAGCAGCACCACCAACCAGCAGGCTGACCAACCAGCTGGCCCAGGTCGAAACGCAGCAGCGGCCCCTGTCACCGTGGAAGGTTTTGGTGAATCAAGTCTCCGGAGCCTTTGCCCGGAGGCGGCTGCGCTGCTGGGCCATCAGGGCCAGGGCCTTCCGGCCTTCCTCGACCCTTACTGGAGCCCAGACGAAGCGCGACGGCGTGCAGAGGCATTGCTCCAGCGCGTGCGAGAACAGCGAGCAGTGGCAGCCAGCCCAGTCGTTGCTCAGCGAGAGATGCAGCAGGAGCACCGACCAGCAGCAGCACCGACCACCGACCAGCAGCACCGACCAGCAGGGGCGCCGACCAGCAGCAGCACCGACCGGCAGCGCCGACCAGCAGCAGCGGCACCGACCACCGGCCAGCTGCAGCATGCACTACCAGCAGCAGTACCGACCACCGAGCAGCAGCACCGACCAGCAGGGGCGCCGACCGGCAGCAGCACCGACCAGCGGCGCCGACCAGAAGCAACACCCACCACCGGCCGGCTGCAGCAGGAACGCCGACCAGCAGCAGCACCGACCACTGATCAGCAAAACCGAGAGAGAGACGGCAGTGGCAGAGTGGTGGGAGAAATGGGGAGGAAAGGCAGTGGATGCTCGGGGGGGAGAGACGGCATTGGCGGCGAGGGCAGGGGGGACGGCAATGGAGCGGTGGGAGGAATGGGAAGGAACGGCAGTGGAGGCGCGGGGGGCGGCAGTGGAGGCGTGGACGGTGGCAGGACGGGGGGGGGCAGCAGTCGTGGCGGCGGTGGTGGCGGTGGGGCAGCAGCGGCAGCAGGGCGCTGCTCGGCGAGACGCTGGGATCGAAGCTGGAACCCGCTATCATCAGCCGCTACAGCACTGTGACCAGCGCCAGCGAGAAGGGGCAGTGGCAGCCAGCTCTGGCTCGGCGCAGCGAGATGTTGAGAAGCTGGAGCCCACCATCATCAGCCGCTACAGCACTGTGATCAGCGCCCGCGAGAAGGGGCAGTGGCAGCCAGCTCTGGCTCGGCTCAGCGAAAGGTTGGGGGTGAAGCTGGAGCCCACCATCATGATCTACAGCGACCAGAACAGCGCGTGCGAGAAGCGCTGGCAGCGGCAGCGGGCCCCATCGCTGCTCAGCGAGATGCGGGTGATGAAGCTGGAGCCCGCCGTCAAGAGCTCTGGCACTCCGGTCAGAGCGTGCGAGAAGGGCGAGCAGTGGCAGCGGGCCCTATCGCTGCTCAGCGAGAGGCGGGCGGCGAAGCTGGAGCCCGACATCATGAGCCACAACACGGGGCAGCCAGCCCTACCGCTGGAGCCGGAAATGGTGAGCCACAGCGCCCCGATCAGCGATTGCGAGAAGTGCTGGCAGTGGCAGCGGGCCCCACCGCTGCCCTGCGAGACGTCGGAGCCGAAGCTGGAGCCCGACATCATCACCTACGGCACTGTGAGCAGCGCCTGCGAGAAGAGGCGGCCTCGGCAGTGGCAGCAGGCTGCGACGCTGCTGAGCGAGATGCTCGTGTAGAAGCTGGAGCCCGCCATGATCAACCTCACATGCGAGGAGGGCGGGCAGCGGCAGCCAGCCCCGGCTATGCATCAGACCAAGCTGTCCCCTCCGACGACGATGACTTGTAGCTCCGCGCGCGCGTGAAGGGGCGGTCACTTTCGCCCCCGCCGCGCGGCCCGGGGACCCCCGTGTCGCCCCCCTGAGATGGGTGCGCGGTGCCGCGCGAAAAACAGCGCACTGTCTTGAGTCCGCACTGACCGTGGAAAAAAGGAAGAAGAGGAAGAAAAAAAAAAAAAAACCGTCGCCAGGTGCCCCTGGCGCGCCCCTCCGCGTGGATGACTGGTGATGACTGCCCCCACCGCCCCCACACGAAGGTCCCTCCCGGGCAGGACGGGTCGCCAGGATTACGTGCCCCCGCATCACAACGGGGGCGATCGTCTTCTGACGCGGCTCCCCCCTAGCACTTTCTCCTGCCGCGCTGGCGATGTTCATCCCCGCCAGCCTGGCTACTGTCACACTCAGTGCGGCGCCTCACCACGCTGTGACAGGCGGGTGACTGGGGCCAGGCCCACAGGGTTCTCCACAGGGCCGGCCTGCTCCGCGCGCTTGGGATGGTGGGCCCCGGGAGCCCCGCGGTCGCGTCGGAGCGGTTCAGCCTTCCGTCTCACGCTGCGCTTCACCCGGGCTCCGTCCCAGCCATTCAGGCAGGTCTACGACGTCATCTCGGTCGCTCAACCCACCTGGCTGGTATGCGCCGTTGATACGGGCCTGGACGTGGCGCCCCGCTGGCGACTCGTTCGTCGTTCACCTCGCCTTCGCGACCACCAGGCGTGAGAGGGGTGTGGGCATCAGCTCGCTTACGGTCTCGCCTTTTACAGAGTGGTCCACGCCGCAGGGCGCACACCGAATTCCCTGGCATTTTGCTCAGGGCTGCACGATGCCTGAGCTTCCCTGGGTGCTCTCAGCCAGTCAGCCCTCACCTTGCGGCTCAGCAGCCGCCTTGTGAGCTGGCCCGGCCGGCCCGTCCCGCGCCCTGCAGCTAATTAGGTATGTTTCCGTGCCCGGGACAGCTTTTGTTTCCGCCTGCGCTCTTCGCTTGCGGACGCGACCAAAAAAAATCCTGGCGAAGGACCCAACCATATGCAGTTGTGAGTATCGCAATTGTGAGTATCTTCTTCGGTGGCGCTCCCTATGGGGCCACGAACCGCATGAGGGGTGTGCCGAAGTGTGGCGGGGTACACAACGCAAAGGAATACGATAGATCTGATTACGAGAGAAAGAACGCGGGTGAGTCAGAGCGCGAGGGAATCTGAGTATGAATGGGTCTGCGCGCGAGTGAATATATTTGCATGAATGCGATCATGGAACCGCCTAGTGTAAGTGTCGAGCATGCCTGTCCGAACACACGTGACACTGGGCGTGGCCGCCGCAGGCAGCTTCCGCGGGAACCCCGACGGCAGCGTCCGCACGTCGCGACGCCCATGTCGGCACGCCTCTTGCGAGGATCGCGCCCGCTTTCGGCTCTTCTTTTCCTTCCTCTTTGCCCGCGCACTCCAAAATCCAAGGCTGCGGGCGCAGCGCAGCGCGGAGTCCCCGCGACGCGCGCTGGTCGCCCCGGGCGGGGTCCCAGCGACGCGCGCGGGTCGTCCGCTGCGCGAAGCAGAGAGAGCTGACTAGCTAACTGGCTGGCTGATAGCGGGCAAGTCTCTGACCGCTGGGCAGAGCGACGACGGGCGAACGAGGCGCCGGGCCCCCCGCAGCACGGAGTTCCCGCGACGCGCGCTGGTCGCCCCGAGAGGGTCCCAGCGACGCGCGCGGGTCGTCCGCGGCGCGAGGCCAAACAATTAGTCGGGCAGTCGAGAGAAGGCGCGGCTCGGGGGAGACGCTCCTCAGGTCAGGCCTCGCGGATGAACTCGGTGAAGCCGAGCTCCCTGGCGAGGGCCGTCGCTTCCCTCCTGCACCGCTTCGTGCGCGCCGCAAGCTGCTCCAGCTGCTTCCGCAAGCCCTGCGGCGGCCCTGCCAGGAAGAACTCGATGCGCGGCGCCCGCATGAGCAGGAGGTCCTCGTGGCGCGTGGCGCGCGAGAGCAGCACGTAGAGCTCCAGCCACCAGTCGTCGTCCTCCTTCTTGCCGTTCCCTACCTCGTGGCGGCCGCAATCCAGGATCACGCCTGGGCGACGTCGACCGAGGGAGCAGCGCGCCGGGCAGCCGACGGCCCAGGGCGAGAGTCCACAGGACCGAGAGATGGTCTGGCCGCGGACTGCTCGCGCCCCGGAGGTCTGGCCGCCCCCGGAGCGCCGTTCCCCCGCCCCGTCGCCTTCGCGCAAGGTGCGCCCCTGGCACGCCACCGTGGTGATGACCCTGCCGTGCGAGAAATGCGGGGGGGTGCCGAAATGGGTGGGGGTGACGCATGCGGGCGGCGGCACTGAGGCCTTCGGTGGAGCTCCCTATGGAGCCACGAAACGTGTGAGGGGTGTGCCGAAATGGGTGTGGGGACGCATGCGGCCGCGGGCACTGGGGCCTTCGGTGGAGCTCCCTATGGAGCCACGAAACGTGTGAGGGGTGTGCCGAAATGGGTGTGGGGGACGCATGCGGCCGCGGGCACTGGGGCCTTCGGTGG